CAATACTCGAACTCATAATCTGTATATTACTTAGGGTCTGTTTGGGGCAGCTGTTGATTATTTATAATTTGTTGATAAGCAGATTATTATAATAATCTGATAATCTGCAGATTATTAGAATAAGTTGGTTTGCTGTTTGGGGAAGCTTATTCAGAATAGCTTATTGATAGTTGTTGTTGGATAAATGATCATTTTGCCACTGTTTGGTAAAACTGTTTGCAACAGAACTGTATGAGAGAAATAATACACAGAACAGAAGCCTCAAACTGTTACAGAACAGTTCAAAAAAATAAAATACACTTATTATATCAACTTGAATATTATATGATAAAATAATTAAACAAATTTGAAATAATTAATATCTACTCGATTGGTTTATAGTTGTATGTGTCTTAAGATCTTATTGATTGAAAATGCTAATGAAGCTTCATCCTTAGCCTTCAAAGTATTTGTGTGGTTAATTATAAGATCTAAAACAGATTGGTGTTGGGATAATCTTGACTCGGTGCAAAATTTATTCCCTCTAAAAAGATCTGTACATCTAGGAGAGTAGGATAAAAGGAGAAAAAAGAATAATTTTGACTTGGCTTCTTCATGTTGAATAAAATCAAAAGATTTACTAAACAAAAACATTTCTACCCAATCCCGCTCTTATTCCTACCATTTCGAGACTCACACAACAAATTATCGTATCTCACAGGAAAACGGCGAGCAATAATTTAAGAAAGGGTTAGTGAGGACAGTTCATCGTTTACATGTTCACGAAGCCTCGTTGCCTTCTGTGGTGCTCGGAGTCTCGCGGTCGGAGGAGAATGGAAATGATGGGGAGATCATCGGCAAGGGGTTCAGTTTTGCGAGGGGAGGAAGACAAGGGTGATCGATGCGATAGAGGAAAAAGGCCAAGCGATCGACCGAGAGCTAGGAATTTTGCCAGTGGGCCCGAAAGAAAAGAAGCAGAGAAGGAGTTACCGCTTTGCTCAAAGAAGACCGGAACAACCTTGATAAGGAGTCGCAGTATCGATCTCTGCAAGAGGGTGAAGGAACAGAAGGAAGATCGGAGAGGAGGAGGGCAAGGGCGAGGGAGAGCACGAGGGCACGGGAGGAATATTTACCGAACGCGAGGAGATGTTGAACGCGGGGTCGATCCCGCGTCCCAACCTATTAAGAAATTCACCAACAACGTTTGCAAGCGTCTCCAAAACGCCCGATGAACGCATTATTCAAACAGTGCAGCGACATTTTCAAAACGCCGCCGCACCTCAATAAGCTACCCCAAACGGGCCCTTAATCAGCACGTATAGTTGCCTGATTCTTGATGCTTCACAGCATTTAAGGCATCATATGTCAAATTCAACAACTACTTTGCTATACTTTAGGATGAATATCTAGGACAAGATGAATTCACTTTCGATTCAATGGTGAATCGTCCAACTGAAAAACACCTTCTAGCATAGTGTATACCAAAGCTCCCACTCATACAATAGATCTAGCTATATTTCTATGATGACCGAGCATGGGAGCTCAGAATACCAAGGCAATAATAGCTGGTCGGATAGAGAAAATTAAATATCTAAATATTTTTATTTCATAATTAAATTTAATCTAAAACACAAAAGAATCATTCTATTTCATAAAAATTTAATTTACAAATTTTAAATTATCACAACTGATATAAATAAAAACCGACATATAATACTTATCCATCTGTACTCCTCGGCGTTTGTACACGCCCTCCAAGTTTTATTTATTCTATAACATATTTTTTCAAATAGGTTAGCAACCGAAGATGCGAATTAAACTTTTAGTGGGTAAAATGTCTCTAAATTATAATAATTCTGATTTTAAATTAATTTATAAAAACATAATAAGTAGTAAAAAGATCGTAAGCAGTAAAAAGGAAACAATAAGATATTAATTTGTTGATTGTTTTTATTCATTTCAATTACAATACATGTTAATCGAAATCACCGTCTAAACGTATATTAAACAGTGACTCCTAATAAAGGATATTATAATTGAAATGAATAAAAAAATCAAAAAACTAATCTCTTTGATGTTTCCTGTTTATTGCTTATGATTTTTTATTGTTAATTGTTTTTTATAAAATATTTGTAAAATGGAAATTATTATAATTTAGAGATATTTTATCCAATGGATGGTTTAACTCACACATTCAGCGGCTAACATTTTTAGAAAAACCTGTTATAACATGAATGGAACATCGAGAGCACACCAAGGAGTTCAGACCAATATGTATTATATTTCTTTTTTTTTTTGTCGGTTGTAAAAATTAAAATATGCATGAACTTATTCTAAATTAAAGTTTTATAAAATAGCAGGGTTTTGATGAGAATTAACTATGAAACAAAAATGGTTAGATTTTTGCTTCTTTCATTTGAACGTCTGTTTTCGCCTTGGTAATCTAAACTTTTGGGTCAGGTCATGACAACTTCCTAAACTCAAGAGTCCAGCTGCTAACAAATTGATTCATATTTTGATTATATGTTGCAAGAAGTTAAGAAGAGCTTACATGCCACTAATCAACAATATCAGCAAAAAGCTAATGAACATGAAGAAAGAAAGTTTTTGAGATTGATGATTTAATCATGGTCCAGTTATGGAAAGAATAATTCCCTGCAGGATTTTACTCCAAGTTACAACCCAAGAAGCTTGGTCCTTTCCCCATCAGCAAACTAATTAATAACAATGCTTATATTGTTTAACTGCCACCTGGTATTAACTTCTCTTCTACATTTAATATGCCCGACATATATGCCTATCATCCTCCTGATGATGGACAGGTGCATCAATCCGAACTCGAATCGAGTTCTTCTGGGATGAAAGGGATCTTTGATATAGCGGCCCCACCTAAGCCTCTAAGGAACTACTTATCTTAATATATATATCTATATATCTATATATATAATGCAATTTTATGTTGAGTAATTAGTTATATACATAACAAGCAAGTTCTTACTATTTGTCAAATGAACACCCTTATATTTTCATTTTTAAAACTATCATGCAAATTTTAAAATTTATCATAAGAACTCAACTCACATTTTTTGATTTCACCAAATTCTAAATGAATATAGTATTAGAGTAAATGGAGTGCTGCCACAGCTGATTAGAATTAGTGTGTATATGCATATCCCTGCTTTAGTAGAAGAGGCGATTGATTATTTGATATTCTGTGTGTTCTGCTTTTTTCTGCGTTAAGAAAATTTCCCTTTTCTCTGGTTTTCTTGTGTCTCTGTTCATGAATTGTAGCTACAGGTTTCGTCATAAAGTCTATATAACTTTATTAGTTAGAACAAAATTGTAACCCTAACGTGTCATTAGTTTGCAATAGCATACAAATATTTGTTTTGCAAAAGAATTTGATAATGATCAAGCCTCATAATTAGCACCTTCTTCTCATATTTATGAAGATGATTTACAAAAATAATGACTAGCCTCAGTCTATTTTCTATCGAACAACCTCAGCAATATAGCAAAAAAAATGTATTCCACCTCTCAAACATATGCGTCAAACACAGCTATAGCTTTAAGTACCTCACTCACAGAAGTCTAGTAAAACTCGTCATCCATATAAAAACATCACAGCGATCAAATGGCAGCTAAATTCCATGTTTCATCGAAACAGCAATATATAATAACACACAAAACGTTCAGACAGATATCTATCAAAGGCAAACTCCACACCTATGGCTTGTTTAGATAACAAGTTTTCAAAGGAAAACGTATACGGGTTGAAAGTGATATCTATGGCTGCAGAATTATTAACAATAACAACAAATAACACGAAATTTCCATTTCATTTTCTTTATTTTCATTCAATAAAAACACAGCTTCCAAAATAGTGGGATGTCTCATTTCATTTTTGTGCAGCTACACATATATAGCACCATGACATGGAAGAGATAATTTAATGTTTAATATTGATTAATATGTACGTAAATTCCTCCTTCAAGTTAACTTATTAAGGTTTGATAAGAAATTGCAATAAGAAATAAGGATTGCGCCATATAGTGCTCGTAAAGAACTCCGTCATTTTTGCAGATGGGGGAGAAAGGCAGAAATCAAAATAAAGGGGGCTCGTTTTTTATGACTTGAAAATGAAGTAAAACGAAACATCTCAAGAATGTGAATAAAGAGAAAACCAAAAGGATGCTTAAGATGTCAGGATAGGTTGATTCGTGTCATATGGAAAACAAAGCTAAGAACTGGCCCTTTATTCAATTCCATGAATTTCAAAACAAAGAAGTTTCCGAAAACTTAAGAGAACCCTCCCAAATTGGTTTGTCTGATCCTTCAAATAACTCTATTTGGCCTTAGCTTAAAATATGTAAATTTAAATGACAATCATTCAAAAGTACTTTACACTGCTGTTATGGGTTGACAAAACTCATTTTCATGCCTCGTGCTTACATTCAAATGATTTGAAAATTCAAATTGAAGTGCAAATAAATGATAAGAAATAATTGTGTAATTGGTTTATCTAATTTTATAATTCCCTGTTCATTGTTAATGTAACCAAATTATGCATAAAAATTAAAAACTACTCTTTAATAAACACTACAATGTGTATTAATTATTGAAAATCGCAAACCCTTTTTTATTTTGCAGTAAATTTAATTTTTCTAGATTCATCATTAATCCATAATCAAAATAATATGAATAATCAATTACGAAGTTTTATATCATGAACTATTCTTTGAAAGCTTTAAACAGTTTTATTAGATAATATTAGTGCATGTACATCCATTCCACCCAAATCCAATGTATTTAGATATCTAACACAAAGTTTACTTTTTATATATACCACACAAATCTTCATATCATATAAAAATACAACCATTTTAATTTCTGCCAAATACACATTTTCATGCATATATAAAAATTGAAGTTTAGGTGTTAGATATGTAAATAAATAGGAATTGAGTGGTATGTATGTAAATCTTCCTTTAGATTATTGATATGGCAAGCTGCTTGTGTACCTTAAGATGAGCCTTTCCCAATTTCTGTACCCAGCAAATAACAGATTCTTCTCAGTGGCATTCCGCTGAGCTTCATCGCGTCCCGTCAGTAGTACCAAAGTAAATCCAAGCCGTTGGAGCTCTTTGTACAGTTTCAAGCTTGCTGGTAAAAACGGCGCCTTCGCTGAATCCACCCACTCATCAAATGAAGTCTCATTGAAAATTTCTGATCTATGCAAAACCAGAAATAATATAAAGCAATAAATAAACTCCCAGACAAAAAAAAAACAAAATTGGAGACATTATATTAAAAGGGAGTAAGAAGTGAGATGGATTTTGAATTGGAACAATCAAACACTCAAGCTAGCAAGTTGACTAATGAGCCAACCGTAATTAGACTTAAATGAGAATTAAAATGGACCTGAATCAAATCTAAATAACTCAATTAGGATAAAAATTTAAGGGCGCTTTAGATCACTTTTGTTTATTGTTCTCCATTTTTTATTCTTATTTTGTTTTATTTATGTTTTAATTTGAAACAAGCATATTTCATACGTTAAATTAAACTTAAATTGTTTTTGAAAACACTAAAAATTATTTAGTGTTTTTATAAAATATTTATTTATTTTTAAATAGAAAAACAAAAAAATAGAGAATACGCTAAACAAATATATTTTTAAAAATAAAAGTAAAAGTGAAAACAAAAATAAAAAACAAAATTGATCCCATATAAGAAGATTTCCAATTTTGGTTTGATTTTAAGCAGGTTTGGTCTTAGTGATTCGGAGAGTTTTAGTGTAATTTTGGATGAACTCGGAGAGTTTCACATGAAATCTATAGGTTTTCTTTTAAACTTCAATAAAACTCTAAAATAGATGTCAAAGTTATATTAAAAATTATATAATTGATGCCCCACAAAATTTTATAGGGGTTATACTTTGAGCTCCAATTAGATAATAATTCCTTATTTAATACCATACATGTACTTTTTAGACTATTTTACACTTAAAAAATTTAAGTTGGGTTAAAATTGACACTAAATATGAAACTTGAGAAAAATATCACACTACTGAAAAATAAAATTTCTCGATGGAGTTGAAACTAAAAGCTAGCTGTAAAAACCTTGATTAAAAGAAAATTTATGATATGCAGGAAATGTAGATGCAGAGAACAAACCAATTGTGTACAGCTTGGTTGTCCACACCTATGTGATATAATGTTATCCACATCTAATAATTTTTGCGATTAAAATGTGTCTGCATAAATATTGGACCTAATTATCTCAAAGACAAAATCTAATCTAAATCAAAGCAACTTTTGATTTGGATTAAAATCAAATTAATTTAAACAAATTATGTCTGGATCGACCCTATGGTACAAGATCAGAGAGCAACAACAACAACAAGCGTGGGTTCGCCTACATGAATCTTTTCTCTCCATTGTGTCGTATTGTGTCATATTTTCATTTAATTCTAATAAATTAAGATCATTTTTTTATACAGCATACTCAAATCCTTTTAGATCTACCTCTAACTTTCTTAACGTTAAGTCAAATCTAAAATATCTACTCTTGTAACTGGGTCATTTGATGGTTGACATTTAACGTGACCAAACTATTTAAGACAACTCTCTCTAATCTTGTATGTTATTGGAGCTAATCCAACCCTTTCATGGATATACTCTCATCTCAACAACACTTAACTTAATTTTATGCTTCTCTTTTTTACAAGCCTGGCATTCTGCACCATAAAGCATTGCAGGCCTCACCATATCTTATAATTATTTTCTTTTAAGTCTGAGTGATACTTTTCTATCACAAAATAGGCAAGATGAATCCTTCAATTCAACCATCTAACTTAAATTCTACTAATAATATCCCCGACAATAGCAACATCACTTTGAACAATAAACCTGAGATATCTAAAATGTTCACTCATTTCAATGACTTCATCATCAATTGTTACAATTCTACTACTAGATCTACTGCTACTAAAATTACATTCCATATATTCAGTTTTACATCTACTCAAATGAAAGTCCTTAGATTCTGATATTGACCTCCATAAATTAAAGCTTCTTGAACTCTCTCTAATTACATCAACATAAAGGATTGCATTAGCAAAAAGTATATATTAAGGTACATCCTCCTGTAAATGTCCAGGAAGAACATTCTTAACTAAACCAAAAAGATATGGCTTTAAAATCAATCCCTGAGGTAATCTAGCTAAAATAGAAAAATAATTGGTCCATCCTGAGTATGCATATCTTTAATGGCTTAATATAAGCAATATCATCGGATTTCTTTTATAGAACTCTCCAAATAGATCTCTTGGAGCCTTATTATAAGTTTTTATTTAAATCAATAAAAATCATATGTAGATCCTCCTTACTTTCTCTGTGCTTCTCCACCAAACCTCTCAATAAATATATAGCTTCCATAATACACTTGCACGACATGAATCAGGGGAATGAAAATAACTTTTAGTTGTTGTTTCGTTGGCTCCCTATTCTCACATTATTATTGCCTTCTTGAAAGCAAGATTGACACAATTGTAGTCTCTGAGTTTTGCCTTCCCCCTTGTGATTGCAAAGTTCAAGCCACATATTTAACTTCTCTGCCAGAATCTCCATGTACTCAGAGTAAGTCTTATGGCTTATTCTCAACTGAGGTAACCTCCATATAAATATGACTTTAAAAGAAAAAACATATCAATTTTTACTTTAAAATCTCCATAGTGTCTCTAAATCAAGTGATGTCATTGAGGATGCTGATCAAGAAATAGTTTCTGGCTTCAGATTCTAAATGAAAGTATTTGGTTCATCTGCAAAGGTATTGATCCTCATTGGAGATTTGAAACTTTGCTGGAGTAGTTGGATAGGGTCCTTGAGGCTACCATAAATCTTTATTCACCGCAGCAATTCCTCCACAAAGTGGTATGCTTTCCAGGTCTCTTAGTACGGTTTCCATGAAGGGCTGTTAGTGTGGTTTCCGGAGGAAGAACACAGCTGCTCCCAATAGTGCGCAACTCCCATCTGATCTCTGTGTTGAGATTTGGTAGTCAAGATCGCCAGTTTTCGTTCTAGATTTCATTGGACGTCAAAGAAGGCATACTAGCTACATTCATCATCACAAACCGCTTTGTCTTGGCCCGCCGTCGATGAGCAAGAGCCGCAAGAGGAACATGAAAATGGTGGAAAATAAAAAAATGCTTTGCTATCCAAAATCCATGAGGAAGAAAATACATCTATGATTCCCCTTCAACATGTGATCATGATACTATATGCAATCCCCACGAGTTACTGGAGAGACAATAACTATAAGCAAGTTTAAGCTTAAACACAGTTAAGCTCTAGATAAAGACAAACAAAACAGTAATAGCAGAAACAGAGCCAGGGAGCGAATCAAAGCACAAGAAACAAGCAGTTCGGTGAGCTGCGCAGAAGCAGCGTCATATTATAGGCAAACCTATGTAAACACATGATCAGTTGGTTCACAGCCCTACATACCCAAATCCGACGTCTCTATAGTAAGGCAGATTAGAAAGAAGAGTCTCGTCGATATCAAAGATCCACGCATCCTTCCCGTCTCCGGCGATATTGATATCCCTTGCAAAATAACTTGCGTCGGCGGCAACCACGGCAGAATCGGAAACGTAGCGGTGGCCGTTCATGTAGGCTTCCACGTATCTGAGACATCGAGCCGGAATCGTCGCCCAATAGCCAGCATTGTTGGTCTCCACGGAGAGTCTCCAGCTGTCACAGAAGAGGCCATTGTTGTTCGCTGCCGCGTTACCGTTTGAGATCGCAGCATCGCCTGGAAGGATACGGAGGATTTTCTGGGAATAAGAGGGCAGGATTAGAGCAGCGAGGAGACACAGGATGAGGTGGAAATGAGCCATTCCAACGGAAAACCCTAATGCGAGGTGAGCGAAAAGTCGAGCGATTGCAGCACGGGAAGTGAAGACAGCGTTGTCGGCTACTCCCCAAATCCGGGAACGCACTCCGTACGATTGGTTGGAATTTGTTTTTGAAAACCTGCAGCCCGAGATCGCATTTTTGGATCAAGGCTGGCTACTTACCCTGACCGTTAGAAACTTATATAATCTGATTTTTTTTTAAAAAAAAAATTATAACATTATCGTAACATTTTGGACAGCATCTTCTTCAAATAATTACAACTCCCAATTAGGGCTGTCAAGACGGCTCGTTGTTCACGAACAGCTCGCGAACGAGCCGAACACGAACAACATGAACAAATATTTGGCGTTCGTGCTCGACTCTTTTTGACTCGAAATACTACTAATTATATATATATACATATATATTTGATGAGTAGTATTTTTAAAAATTTAATTGACTACGAGACTACAAAGATTTATAATCAATCAAAATTATTAATTAAGAAAATGGAATAAAAAATATTAAATTATATTCAAATGATGTTTTAAATCTTGCCCCAATATTTATCATCTTATGGCTACTTGATTAGGATTGTCAAAACGACTATTTGTTTGTGAACGGCTCGTGTTCAGCTCGCTAAGAAACGATCCGAAAATGAACATACTTTTTGAACTCGAAATATAAACGAGTTGAACACGAATTACACCCCTAGTCCCAATATCTTTTTATGATTTTTCTCCTTATCAAGGATACCAATTGAAGGTAGACAATTTGATTTTGACGGAGATTATTAAGGATTTTTTTATTAAATCTAACCTACGCTTTCCCATAGTGGAAGCAGTGAAATTCATGTATTGGTAAGGTGTTTTATCCATAAAAATTGGTGTTTATGTATGTGATAGGTAAATAGGTAAGGTTTGGGTGTTGAGTATGTAAATATTCCAAAGATAAAAGCATAATTTTTGCTCTCTCATGTGGTCCAACCATTTGTATGGAATTTGTGAATAGATAAGAATTGTGTGAGTTGTATGTAAATGTCAGAAAAAAATGTATTAAGAGGTTGTGCGGTCTCCATTCCCTCTAGCCCCATGCCCCCTTTTTGCAGGAATTAGTCCCACATCGTGAATATTCGAATTAAAACTTAAACTATACTCTTTAAAATATAAGAAGAAAACATTTACTAGTCATGTAGCAAGTGATTTTGCTAATTTATTTCAATTTTACTTTCTCTTAAGAGAGCTTTAATTTTTTTTAAAAATTATAATTTAACTGTATTATTTGATTTATTATTTTGAGCCGTACACGAATTTCTACATTTTCGAACAAATAAGTTACTAAATTATTACTTTGAGCCGAACATGAACTTAATTCGAACAAATAAGAATGAATCAAACCGAACATGAATAAATTTAACGATCTATTTCAAACTCGAAAAAAAATCGAACGAGCTAAATATGACAAGTTTTCGGCTCACTCAAGCTCGACTCGTTTACACCCATATGCACGAGTCAAATACCACAAAAGAATAATAGAATCCCACAATATAAATTTACAGCGTATCCAAATTAAAGTTTATAAAATATTAAAAGTATGCTAGATAAAAAATGGAAGACTTAACGCGCATGAGAAAAATTTTGATTTATCAATCTTTTGTTGTTCGTCAAACATGGTTTTCAATTTGAGATTCTACATTCAAGCTTTCATGCACAACAACTATTAAGTTCTATTTTTCAATAATATAAAATTAATTTTGCAAAATAGTAATAAACAATTAAGTATATTTAAGAAAAATTAAATACAATATATGTAAATATTACTTAAGGGATCTTTCGATGGTTTATATATCGTTCGTATCTAATCTTCAATGCATACTAAAACATCTAATATCTTTTGGTGAAATTTAACTTCTATAATCATTAAGTACAAACCCTCCTGCACTGAATAATGACTTGCATGCAATCATTATTATAGGAACTGTAAGTATATTTGGTCATCTTATAAAGAGTTTTGAATTTCGGGACAAACATATTCCATCACTGAGAAATATCAAGCTCCGCACATGGCATTTAACGAAAACTTCTTCTAATTATATCTCAAGATCGGACTTTTGTGAAACTAGAAGTCCGCTTGAATCTATGAACTCATATAATCCAACCAAATCATCAAATGAGTTACTACTTCCTTGTATTTAAATTATTGTCCCAATATGAGAGGACAATGGTTCTAAAAGTTCTTTTCCAACATGTCTATCAATGACATAATATAAATACATATAAAAAAAAAATTTATGTTTAACACTATCATTATTTTTATTCATATTGTTATCCCCATAAATTTGAGGATAATAGTAGTTTATAGAAAATAATCTCAATAATGTAAGCAATTGAGAATAATAAAGAAGAAGCTTGTCGATGTTTATCAAATTTTACATTCATATTCTTTTATATATTCAAAAGATAAGGATTATCAAAAAAAAAAAATCATTTAAAGTTTTTCAAAGTACTAAATTTTGAAAATGTTTATTTGCATTGGGATAATTTAAACCTGAAATGATATCAATGATTCGATAAAAAAATTGTGGAATTCATTTAAAGTTTTTCAAAGTACTAAATTTGGAAAATGTCTAATTGCATTTAGGATAATTTAAAGCTGAAATGATATCAATGATTCGATAAAAAAATTGTGTAATAGTTAGCTAACATTATCAAAGTGATCCCAATATTTATCAGATAACAAACCAAACATAATTATGATTTCGTGTAGCATATTCATGGAAGACAAATTTATAAAAAAAATACAAACGCAAGCATTTGCATGTAAAATTCCAACATGTTGGGAAATCAATGCATAATGCTTTTGATGTATACAAATCGATTTGTCTTATAAACTTGCCAAATTTATGCAATCTATTAGGGAATCATTTTAAAAAGATGATTAACTCTTTCAGCACTTTTAGTTATTTTATTAATTTCTTTCAAACCATCCATTAAGTTTAAAATATGAATGTCAAGCTCTTATATGAAAATATAAACTTGAAATCTTGAATCATGTAAGCCATTATTTCAATCGTGAGTTTTTTTTCTGAAGTTACAACTCCGAAGATGTAATTAACAATGTGGGTTTGTCCTTATAAGGATGTCAAATCCAAAATAATTTAAACCCAATCTTACACTCATTAGGTTGGGGAACCATAATTTACGTAGACGCAGTCTTAAAGATTTTCATTATCCAATAATTGGTTCATTTCAAGGTAATATTTCATCCTCTCAAGGTGGTGTGTCGTTCTTTAAATTATGTATCTGATCATTTAGATAAAAATCTTTTGAGTTCGTGATAGACGTTGTCAAAATAAAAAAATACACCATCACTGCATATCAATTGGAATAAAACATGTATATACTTTTGCTTTTTATCTACTCGAGATTTGATTAGCAGTATGGGTATGCAATGACTTGGCTCATTGGTGCGTAATATATATATATATATATATATACGCGAAAGACTTGGCTCATTGGTGCGGCCTCTGGCATAAGCACGTCGGTCGGGTCGGTGGTTCGAATCACGTGGCACATGCTCTTCGAATCAGAATCAAGCACACCGAGTTATATATATATATATATAATTCATTGAACTCTAAGAACTTAAACTGAACATGACAAAAAAAAATTAGTGAAACTTCAAATTTTGATAATAAAAAGTGAATTGAATTTAGTCATTCTTTGACGTAAATAATGAAATCTCATAAAATGAAAATTTCATTATATTCACCCAAAATGAAGATGCATGTACATCATAAATGACCAAAATTGCTTCATTGAAAACTTTAAACATTTCTATGGTGTCTCTTTTCTTATATCGAAGTAATACACAAACAAACAAAACAAACTTAACACAAAAATCTATCATTTCTGAAAGTAAGGCATAAAACAATCTCCTTTGATGCACAAATATTTTGACGATAACTTCGAAATCAGGAGTGCTATTTATTGCATAAATGGGAGTGCCTAAATTTTCCATGAGCATGAACAACTGTGATATCATGAGAAAAGACAACAAAAAAAAAACTTGTGATGAAACACAAATTATTCAACAAAAAATATACAAATCAAGTTTTAAACATCATACAAATCTTATATGTATGGTAATTAGTCTTATGTAGTCTTTATGTCATATTCTTTGGTAAAATGGAAACTGTTAATAAAATCTTACACTCGATCAATTTAAGAGACATTAGCATAGAACAATTATCACCATTGTTGCATCATTTTTTTATGTCACAAGTGTTGGATGTCCGCTCGAGCGCTACGGAACCTTGTTTGATGCATGTGCTGATTCCATGGCACAACACATCCATTAGAGACTTTTCATTGCGTGTTGAAGGACACACAACCACGGTCATTCTGTTAGGCTTTGAGCGAAGACCAACCGAAATTTTTGCACCTCGGATGACTTCAATTGGATCGATGAATAGTATTTGTTGTGTCACGAGCAAAACTTGCTTATATTGGCCCGTCCACCAGTGAGCATGTTCGGATGACCCCAGACGACGAAACGGACAACACAGTGCTTCTGGAATGTCGATTTTACCTATAAAGGACATCTGCTTTTGTTGCGACTTTGTGTGCCGGCTAAAAATACGTTTTGTAGCTGAACCTCCACTTCTCTTTCTTTCTTGAGGCATCCTTGCCACTTTGGCAGGAGTAAGACCTGCCACTTGGAGCTCCAACCGATAGTCATAGAATAGAGTGATGTTCCTTTGACCTTAGGACTACCGAGGTTCCCCACAAATGACGCAATTGACGAATTGTTGACCAGAGATTTTAGGACATGTTGCGCGACTACCATCATGATCATGCAGACTTGGGGTCTTAGCACTAGTCATTTCGACAGAATGAATATAAACACATGAGAAGTGCGTGACATATTTGTAAATTTCTCTGAAACTCTCGTATAAATGCAAATATATGCCATGAGTATAAACACATGAGAAGTTGGCCTTTATTGGAGTCAATTATTTTTCCGCCAAATAATCCTATCATCTGAAACCTCTTTTTTCTCAAAATTCATTTAGAAAAATTTCATCCAAGTAGCATACACCAAACCATATAATCCAACCATCAAACAAGGTCCATTTAAATACACAACACACAATTCTATTGAATTTGCATATCTCACACAATAAATTTAATATTCATGCACACAACACTCAAATCCGCAAAACCAAATCAAGGTGGACACCATTACAACCTAAGCAACATAGGGAAACCATTGTGAATCAGTCAAATATGCATGAGTACACTTGTCATCATCCCTCAAACGACTAAATATGGGCTCAACTATCATGAATGTAGACACATAAAGAATCGTGTGTTGGGTTTGTAAACTTGCAAGTCTCCAACAGAAAAGGGAGCAACCAAAACCATCAAGTAACCGAACCGTGTAATATGAAATCAAGGAAATGATGTTAACAAATGCTTAACCCTCCAACATTCTTCTCAATGTTTTCACTCAAAAAAAAAAGATTAAATCTCAATCCATGTTTAACCAAATAAATAACAACAAAAAATTTCTGTTTTCATATTGCTCCAACGAATTCTCAAATTCACATTCACATATCAAAAATCAACGTAGGAAGAATGACACTGAAATGCCAAAATGAAGACTCATTTCATAGGAATGTCTCATTCCCAAAGAGCAAATCCAACTTAAGAACCAACAAAATGTATGCATTAACCAAAGACTTCAAACATATCAAACAAATCACAAAGCATATGAAGCTTCCTATGTAAACATGGGGTTGTAGCTACCGAAAAAAGAGAAGAAATGCAAATCTCCGTTGCTTTGTATGTAAAAAAAAAAAAAAATACTGTGTGCAAAATATACGGCTCTTAAAGAGCAAATCCACAAAAAAAGAGATAAGTGGGAGAGGATACCGACAGATGGAGGAAGCAAATGCCGTCAAAAAACCCTATCCAAATGTGTCGCCGAGTGAAGAGGATGTAACGAGAAGAAACTCATGAGAGATCGCTTAGAAAATACACAAAAGAAAAAGGCACAATATAAACAAGAATAATACAAGATACAATCACAGTGTGACTTGATAGGGGCATTTAGAGTCTGTTTAAGGCAACTGCAGCTTATTGAATAATCTGCTAATAAGCTAATTAAAAATAATATGCTAATAAACTAGGTGCGGCAACTATCACAAATTTTTAGTTTATTAGAAAAGCCAAATCGCTGCTAGAAAGCTGTCACCGCACCTAGATAGTTTCAGTGTGAAAACGTTGTTTTAGTATTTTGAAAACTTATCAGTTGCCAAAATACAGTTTACCCAAAAAGATCAGGAGCATTTTAAAAACGTAACCGCATAGAATAAGCCGCCCCAAAATGCCCCAAAAATGTCCTTAATATACCACACCAAACTAACTGTTCACGGTATTTAGCTTCTAAATAATTGCAGAAAAAAATGCTTTTTCGATTGCGATAACTCTTTCGTCGTTCCAAACATCCCGGCACCCTTCCGCCGCTCATCGAATACTTTCCATGGATCCTAACCCTATGGTGCACCCAGCAGCCCTGCCCTACCACGATTACCCCTACGACATGAGACCCTCGTCCTACCCTGCGCCGCCGCCGCCTCCCGGTGCCATCCATCTCCCTAATCATTCCGCTGGTTACCACTCTTCCTACTACCATCAGCATCACACGAATCCTCCTCCTCCCGCTCCGATTGTCCATTCTAACCCCCAGCAGCAGAAGATCAACACACTCTTCATCTCGGGGCTCCCTGATGACGTCAAGGCCCGTGAGATCCATAATCTCTTCATTCGTCACCATGGGTTCGATTCTTGCCAGCTTAAGTACACGGGCCGTGGCAATCAAGTAACATTTCACCTCTCATTGATGCCCTAGGATTTCTTCTGAAAAATTTGTAAAACTCTATCTATATAGGTTTGTGTGCTAACCCCACAACGAGTTTCTTCCATTTCTTACCATGTACGCGAATGGCCGTTTTCTTCTGCGACTGTGTCCTCAGCGGTGATGGTGAGGGTAGTGAACTAGTAGTTTTTTAGCCACGAGCTTATTGGGATCTAGTTTAACTCAGCGGCATAGCAGTTTCTTTTCTCACGGTATTCTGCAATACTTAACGCGAGATGCTGAGGAGATTCTCACAGTGTTCTTGGTTTTTTGCATGATCCCACACACGATATCTCTTGAACCTTGCCGCAGGTTAAGAGCACCCTCATAAGATCTCGGCCGGATTGTTACTTCCTGTGCTGATATGGGGATCCTGCCGCAGCTGATGCTAGTGTTAGAGATGATGTTGTTGTTTCACTAAATAACATTTTTTTTTTTGACAAAAGAATATTGACACCATTCTATGGTTCCTACATGGTGTTTAGGTGGATTTTAGTGGGGAGGTGGTTGGGGAATAGCAAACGAATGATAATATGCGATATTGATGGAGGTTTGAAGTGGATAAATGATGTTTGGTGGCGGCCTCGACTGGAAACGATGAAGGGAATCATGAAAAGACGATCTACAGATGGTGAGGTTTACCATGTGATATCGAACAAGCTATGTGCATGATCTACAGATGGTGAGGAGGTTTACCATGTGATATCGAACAAGCTATGTGCACACCACTTGCAAAAGAAAAAGGATACAACACTCTTTATGAAATAAATTTGAAAATACAATCTCTAAAACACATAAGATCAAGAAAAAGTCTCAAAACAACCATAATACAACATATATAAATGCTTTTTAATAGAAAACAATCTAATTAGAAATAAAGAGATATGAAAAAGACAAAAAAAAAAAAAAAAAAAAAAAAAAAAAAACAAACAAAAAAAAACGGGTTGCTTCTGTTCTGCACTCGAGATCGTGGGGCTTCTCGCGATCCTGCGGAATCACAGGTTTGTAGGAGTTTCATGTGCCATGTCATTCCATGGGGTGGGAAATATTATGGTCTCTCGTTAGGTCAATTTTATATGTATTTTCATTAATCTTCTTAACTTGCTGCTATGTTTAACAATTTATTTTCAGATTTGCTGATGTAGGGTATACATATTCTAGACTCTAGTCTCAACATGAGTGCTAATCTTAATAGCTGGCACTGTCAATATAAACTATTGAAATTTGAGATGGTCTCACCTATACATAGTCTCTATGGGATGTGACCTGTGGATTGATTAGTAAAATGATTGTAGGCAAACTCCACTCAAGGAAGAACCAAATCTCACTGCTTGATGTTCTTTCCCATAAACTATCTAAGAAAAATTTCGAACTTGTGATTTACAATGTCTATCTACTCATCTGTTTGAGGGTGAACTGTTGATATGACGATTTACAACATCTATCTGTTCATTTGTCTGAGAGTGAGCTGCTGATTTGATTTGAAATATTGTGCCTAATTTGCCCGATTAATTTTTCAAAAGTGGTTGAAGAATTTCACATCTCTATATGAAGTAATACTCTTCGGTATATCATGAAGACCAAAGACTACAACATGTGATGCTTCCATTATCTTATGCCGGGAAGTAAATTCTGCTTTCTCGGAGAAGCAGTCTACCACCACAGTGATAGAATCCTTATTTTGTTGTGTTCGGGATAAGAGTACCATAAAATTTATGCTCACATCTAATCAGGGTGACTTTGGAACAGGAAGAGGAGTTATAACCTTATATCCTTAAGTCTTAGCCAAATAACATATATTGTATTGTTTGATGTGTCTCTCCACATCTAATGTCAATCCGGACCAATAAAGTTCTCTTTTAGTAAGGAATGGGTCTTGCCCCATGAAAATGTCCCCCTCATTGTGACACTCCCATAAAATACTCTCCCCAAGTGAATTTAGAGGGATGCATAATTTGTTCTGGAAAAATAGATATCCATAGGGTTTGTGATACTGTTCATTCAATCTATCCTGGCATCGGTTGCAAATTTCATGAAAATCCTCATTAGTTGCCTATAAATTCTCCAACACCTAAAAATCAACTAGTTTAGATTGCATAATAGTGATTAATAAGTGGCGACAATGCAGTGCATTTGCTATTTTTGTTCCCACTCCCAACCTTATATTTGAGCATAAAATAAAATGAAGAGAAATTTCACTCATGAGGCATGTTTGTGCCTTAGCTTACTTTGAATATTAAAAAATCTGAGGTCTCATGTTCAGTGTAGTGAGTAAATTTGTTCGTCAGTAAATGATGATTTAAGTGACTGATGACTCTCACAATAGTATAAAACTTATTATCATGGGAAGAGTATTTTTTCTTGGAATCATTTAGTTTTTTATCGAAGAGAGTAATAAGGTGCTTTCTTTGACTTATCACAACTAATTCTTATATTAGAGACATCACACTCTACTTCGAACACTTGATTGAAAGCTGAAAGTGCGAGAACGAGGACATGAGTCACTTGTTTTTTCAAAGCATCAAAATTAGTACGAGCATTGTTTGACTTGAGAAGCTTTGTTAAAGATGATGTGATTGAGCAGAAATCCTTGATAAATCTCCTCTAAAAAGAAGTCAGACCATGAAGTTAGTGTACTCGAGTAAATGACTAAGGCCTAGGTCAGGCCACAATAATCTCGATCTTCCTTGCGCCAATCTCATTGCTAACAATTGAAAGATACTGAAGTTAACCCAAACGATTGGGAAAGCAAATATTATTACTCAATAAACAAATAAACGGTTACAACTCACGCACTGAAAGGGGAATTACAACAAATACGACACAAAAACTCACACTAGGGTGGATCTAAAGTGGTGGTAGTGGTTGTTAGGGGTTTGGAAGTTTTGGTAGATAATTGGGATGGTTGAGTGGTGGTTGTAAGGTGACGGCGATTGTAGCAGGGAAGGAATTTTTGGTGTTATTTTGGGGTTGGCAGCAAGCATGGGATGGCTGAATAACGATATGACAACAAGGGGAAGGGCTTATGGGGCTGCGACGGTGATGCCAGATGTGGGGATTAGGGCAGGACAACAAAAGGATGGATTGGCGGGTTGCAGAAGCAAAGGTGGGGGTTTGGGACAACAAAAACAACGAAGCAGGTGGCTAGGACGACGAGGGGTGGCCAAGGGGAATGGTAGTGGACTGCGTGTTAGTATAGGGGAGGACTATCCGGGGATTGTGGCAACGAGGATGATGGTTGGAAAGGTTGTAGAGGAGTTGGGTAAAGATAAATATCCCCGCGGGATCGAAATATAACTGGAACACTACTTGATCTTTGGGGGATGGCATCACCTCGGACGAGTTACAAACAATTACCTTCTCATTTTTGGATACAACCTTAGAAGGGGGACATTGACAGCCAACGACTTTGTTAATAGGAATCTCAGAAAAAATAAATTGAACTCTAATACAACATATATATATATATGGGAAAC